TCCCCTTTATGGTCCTCCTTTTCGTCCTCTTTACCCTCCCCTTTATGGTCCTCCTTTTCTTCCTCTTTACCCTCCCCTTTATGGTCCTCCTTATCATCCTCTTCACCTTCCCCCTTCTTGCCTCTACCTTCTGCAACATCACTTTTCCTCTCTTCAACCTCAATAAACTTATCACTCATGCCATAGAGATCCTCCATGTGCTCCTCTTCGCCTTCGCCCTCCTTTTGCACTTCAATTTCATTTCCTTGTTCATCCTCACATTGGCGCTCCATTTCGCGCCCACTTGCATATTCCCAGCTTGCTTCCTCTACTTCTTTCTCATCCCCCATGTCACCCTTATGATCCTTATTTACCAACATGACCTCCATTTCATTCGAAAAGGCATCTTCATTTCCTTGTTCCCCCAAAGGCTTTGTTCCTACGTCGATTTCAAACTCGGGTTCTAACTCACTTTGGGGTTTCCTTTCTAGGTGTACTTGTAATTCGGCGTCGGTCAACTCTGTTTCAAGCTCCGCTTCTAATTCAGTGTCTATATCGTTTTCTAACTCCCTCGCTAGTTCACTGAATGGCCCGTCTTCCAGAGAAGTGTTCGTCCCTTTTTCGTCGTCACTCTCCAAGTAGTGTCTGATTACATTTGTGTCGTCAATCGGGGATGTGACTGCTATCCCCGTTGCTTCTGCCTTGGGTTCGTCAATCTGGATAGCACCTATTTCCATACTTTCCGCGGGTCCTCCACTAGCCATGACTTCTCCATTCGCCATGACTTTTCCACTCGCCATGACTTCGCCACTCGGCGGCTTCCCCGCAGCCTCCTTCACCTCATCTTCCGCGGTCTTAATCGGGATGCTGACGACTGCACCGATCGTTTCGTTCGGAGGCGAGTCGAAATTCTTCTGGAAGGAGTAAATATACTTGTTAAAGTAAAAAATGGGGTTCTTAAAGAGATTCCTAACACTAGAAATGTACCTTTTAATGGTGGGTTTGAAAACGTAATGGTCCTTAGTCGTGCTGATGCTTTTCTCCATTTCGTCCGTGTAGACCTGTATCTCATTATTCAGATCGCTAAAAGAAATTTTACTTTTGACGTCCTCAAATTCCTTTTCCTTAATCCAGTACTCGGTGTCAAGTTTCTTGTCTTGGTGAAATATTTCACTAATAATGTTATGAATTTTTTTCTTATCTATATGCTTTAAATCGTCTTGTTCGAAGATCGCGGTGCTGAGCATTTGTTCGTATTTGGACGTTTCCATAAAGTCCAAATGAGCAAAGTTAAAGTTATCTGTCGACTTGGAGTCGATGCTCACTTTGCAAGGCTCAGGGACTTCCATCATTTTCTCCAAAGAGAAATCGATGTACTCTTCATTGTAGAGAAAAATTACATTTACATCCTTTGAGAATTTATTGTTGAGCAAATGCATGATGGATCTGATCGTCTTGGTGGGGTTTTGGAAGGTTAAATATTTGCTCATATTTATAAAGGCGATTTCATTTTGCTCTAGTTGTTCCTTGGAGAGGTCTATATGCTCATTAATATCATCTAAATTAAATTCAATTTTGGATTTAAGTTTTTTTAGTTTTTTCACATAGTTTTCATTTTCATAATTGACCCATTCGTTAAATTCTTTGACTTTTTTATTTATCAAGTTGTCTATTTTTGCATTTGTTTTGTTCATATCAGAAATCATGTAAAAAATACTCAGAATAATTTTCTTGTGCATCTTGGAAAGGATCCTAGCATTTCTTTCCATATACTTTTCAATCTTCTTTTGGTACGTCTTTGTTTGTCTGTACATGTATACGTACTCGACTAGTGCATTTTTTATAATGGCGTTTAATTCGTTTCCGTATTGTACCATCATGTCGTAGTAACTTAAGCTTTTATTTTCATGCTTTAAGTTGTAGGACATTTCTTCAAAATATCGAATGAGGGGCAATGCCGTGTTCGCCTTCTTCGTCATTGTTTTGTTAACCGATCCTTTCGTATTTTTAATTCTCTTCAATGTGTTATTAATTTGGTTGTTCAGCTCGTCTCTCCTTTTTAGCAGTTTCCCTATTTCGAAAATGTAGTGCTTCAGTTGGTTTATTTCTTTGTAAAATCGGGAGTAAAAATTGCTATCGATATCTTTGAAGACGTTCGCTATGTAGTCTTTGTCGGCGTATTTTCTGCACTTTTCGATGTCTGCAACTTCGTCTAGGCCTGCGAAAACGAGTGGAAGAAATGCACCAACAGATCGGTGCGCGCTCAGAAGGGCATGTACTGCGGTGTGCATCTCAAGGGGCGGAGCTCAAACGGTGGGCAGAGACTCCCCCCACCTCCTCAGTGGTCATGGGAAAACGGCCGCGTCGTAACAAAAACTTACAGTAGTCCTTAAAAGAGGAATACATAAAATTATAATTCTCCTTGTCAAAGTTGTACTTCTTAAACTGCACATTCTTCATCTCGTTATTCTCCTCCTCAATCTTGAAATCGTCCACACTGTTTTTAAATATCTTCTCGAATATGCCCATGACATCATTGACGTTGAAGTTGTAGTTTAGGATGTCTATCAAACTTTTGTTTAGAAGCATATCGGGCACTTTGGACGGTAAGTCTTCCGATCTTCCCATCAGGAGGACGGCGTGTAGGGCAAATGCTATGAGCGTCCACATTTTGTTGTCGCGTGGTGAACAGTGCAAGCGCAGCGCTCGAAAAAGAGCTACAGTAATAATGAAACGAAGTGAAAGACAAATTTACATGAATGAATGACTCACATTCCAAAATTACGCTATTCAAGCAGAGCTGTTTTTTTTTTCTTTTTTCACTTGTCATTCCTCTTAAGCCCTCATTTTGCGATTCCCATTTTGTTTTCCTCTGACAAGTCGAAAATCTTTTTGGAGCTCAATTCGGTTATCACAAAAAGGGGGCAGCGAAAATGGGAATTTGTGATAGTGGGCAAGTGGGAGCAGACACAAAGGCTGTTGTATGCACGTGAAGAAAACGAACCAACGTTTGGGTCACTTGCTGCGCAGTTGCCCTGGGGGGTGAATGCCGGGCCACGTGAGGCGCGCTGCTTTCACCCTGGGTTGAGTTACTCCGGGGGAGGTTACTCTTCGCCGGGTTACTCTTCACCGGGTTACTCTTCACGGGGTTACCCCGGGCCTGCTTCCATTGCTTCTCCTGATCGGGTTTCTTCACTCAGACTCGCGCAGGCAGGTCAACCCAGCGGCACGCTTCCCCCTCGAGCGGTTCGCAACCTCATTCGTCTCGTTCACATACTCTAGAGAAGCTCATTACGCGAAAAACGCTTCTCCGCAAAAGTTGCTACAATGGCTCTCTTGCAGCTCGGAAGAATAAAACCCCGAGAGGTCATCAAACATTAGAGCATAATTTAAATCCACTATTTCATTAAGAAGTTTTCCCCATTTATTTGCTGTACGAACTTGCGGAAAGATAGAAACAGGAGAGTGCCTTCTTATGCGCATTCGTTTTACCGGCAACGTTTGCGTTCACGCAGGCATACATAGCATAGTGCGCATGCGGTATTGCTAATTATCCGTGCATTTACCTCGCATCCACACCAGCTACAGCACCAACAATCGCGTTTGCACCCGTTCATCCATATCGCACCTTAGGAGGGGACCACAATCACCGATCCAGCGAACGAACCGTCAGTTGATTTCCCCCTTGTGTTCACCTTTCGAACAAATGGTAAGAGGTTAAAGCTTTGCAGCGCTGCATATGGTTTGCAAGGGTTAAAAAAAAAAAAAAAAATGCACATACTGCACGGCATGCTTATATGCAATGGCGTTGCGCGGACCTTCTCCACTTCACTGCGTTGGTCATTAAGGGTGACAAGTGACGCTACTCTAATTGCATGCTAAATAATTTTGTTTCAAGAAAGGGCACTCTTTATGAGAAAAACATTTACGCAAATAAATGTATGGCTAAAAATTGGTGTATTCATCGACGGCCCATTTGGGGAACTGCTTATGTGACATGATAAGCGGGGGGAAAAAACTGGGTGGATGGTGCAGGGTGACACGTGCGATCTGGACATGTCCATGCTCCTCAAAGGTAAAATTCATACGGGAGGGTTCCGCGCATGGCGAGGCCCCGGCTACCCTTTCACCATATTGGTGATGCACTCCAGGTGGAAGGTGTGGGGGAACATGTCCACAAAGACGAGGTTTTTGATTTTCAGGCTTTCGTTTTGAAACAAAACATGTGTTACATTGCTAATCAGCGTGATTGGGTTGCACGAAACGTAAATGATCTGCCCAATCAGTTGGTTGGAGCTTAAAATGTTAAGGACGCTATTGGCCAAGCCACATCTCGGGGGGTCAACAATAACTATCACGTTGGAGTTCTTCTCAGACACGTTTTTAATTTCATTTGCAAATAATTCTTCCACTCTCCCTTGAATAAATTTATAATTTTTAATTTTATTCATTTCCGCATTCTTATTTGCACAAATAATGCTATCTTCACAAATATCGATGCCGACAATGTGCACGTCTTTCCCTTTCAGCTCATTGGCAGCACAAATACTTATGGTGCCCGTGCCACAGCACAAGTCAAATATATAGTTTTGTTTTTTCTCACTTGTGTTGATGTAATCAATGACCCTTTTGTATAGAATTTCACAGCTGGGATGATTTACTTGAAAAAAACAGGACGGTGTTAATAAGAAACGATTGTTTAGGATGACTTCCTCCAAGTATTCTACTCCCCATAGGTGTTCATTTGGGGACTGATTTGTCGAGTCATTTGAATTTTCATGCTCCTGAAGATAAAGAGAAACAACTTTATAGTCAGAGAAGCTCATGCACGCTTCGTCCTTCTTCTTCGTGAGTCTGTTTATCAGCAGCTTTTTGATTTCCTTTTTTTTCTTTTGATCTAGTGAGTACGTCTGCACGGTGATCATCATCTCCTTCCGGCTGTTGAAGCGCACGACGAGGATTCTCCAAACGCCTGCAAGGGGGTGGTGTGGCGGACGTGTGATGGCGATATCGTGGCAGTGTGCAGGCGGTGTGAAAGCAAAGTGGCTGCGGTGTGGCAATGGTATACTCAACAGAATACTCATCGGTCATAAAAGGGTCTACTACGTTCTCAAAAAAAGGCACAGTACGGTGAACAAACAGCCGCGCTCGGATCCGCCCTGCGATCCGTCGCGAAACCTTACCTGTTTTATACACTCGGTCGAAGACCGGGTAAGTGGAATCCTTAATTATGCTCTTCATCTCCTGCACTACCTGCTTCATGCAGGGATGAATGTGCACGCAGTTCTCGACGCTCTTAACGATGGGGTTTAAGTAGTACGCCTGCTTCTGCTTCTTGTTCCTCAGTTTTGTGCTATGGGACTCGTTCAGGGGAGAGGCACTGTTGCTTATATTGTGTTCGCTAAAGTTGCAGTTGTTATCATCAGTGCCATTTCTATCCTCACCCGTCTCATTAACATCCGTTTTCATCTTCCCAGTGACAAACCCAATTTCGACATTGTTATTTTCGTCATACGAAATGGTGAACTCGCATTTGTTACGGTACCCATTGATTCCTTTTTCGTCTGGGAACAAGGGGCTGTCAACCTCAAATTCATAATTCGTCATTTTTTTGTCCACGGAAAATTCCCTGCTGATATTGATGCTTGGATTTACATCACAGAGAACCGTTTTGTTGAAACAGCTGTCTTTGCTCGTTTCGTTTTTCTTATTCTTTTTTTCACCGCTATTACTGCTGTTGGGGTTTCCTCCATGGCTGTTGGACGGAGCTCCTGCACTGGCGCTCCCACCGGTACTTGCCTCACCCGTGCTGCCCATATGGAGTTCCTCATCGGGGAGGGCGGCTTCCATGTCCCCAAAAAGTATACTCTGTTTTTCCCATTTATTTCTCAAGTTGGTCAAAATCTGATCTCTGCATTTTTGTAGAAATCGGTGCTTAATTTTAATTTGATTTTCATAAGGATACTTATAAAAGGGAGTTACAAAGTTCTCTATGCTTTTGCTCTTTTGTGTTTTGTTCATTTTGATAACAGTTTGTAGATCTGGCAGCTGGTCCTCTGTCGTTGTCTCTCTCTTCATGTTATCCTCAGCAGACGTTTCCATTTTTTGTTTCTTCGCCTTGTTCTTACCACTGTGGTTATCTCCCAGGTGGTCTTCCCCTTCATCGTAGTCGTCCTTGACCTGATTCGCATCGTTATCTTCTTCATGGGGCTGGTCCCCCTGTAAGAACTTCCTCTTCTGAGCATACTTGGAAAATTTATTGATTTTAATAACTGACAAGCTATCATTGGGGTAAATACGTTTATTTTCTATCATTTCTTGGAACACCTTTAAGTCTTCGTAGCACTTAAAGCGGATGTAGGCTATGGGTTTGTTTCGAGGCACAAAGGTGTCATAGAAAGGGGCCTTAATATTATTCCTGAGCCATTTGTTTAGGCTCTTTTTGTTCATATACTTGAGTGTATAGCTGAAAATGCTCAAAACGTTGCTTCTCACCAATTTGGTGTTTGCGTTGTTTTCCTTTGTAGTGCGATTGGAGTAACCGTTTGAGAAATTGCTTGCGTAATTGTTTAATGAAAGGTACACGTTGTTGTTGCTGTTGCCGTTTCTTATGAGATTCTGTGACCTCATGGCAATGATTGCTTCATTATTGTCGTCCATATTGTGGTTCCTTTTTGTTATTCCTTTTCGTTTCTTGGGAACAAATGAAAGGAGGGGGCTCCTGCTTGGCGTGGCTATATTTCGTACGCAGGAAATCCTTTCTGCGTAGAAAAGAAACAAAGAGGCTATTAAAAGGAAGCGACGCTTCCTCATTCAAGGGTCCGCGCGTGTCACCAGTTATGTATCCACCCATGCAGCCACTCACCCAGTTGCTCGTCCTCCTATGTTCGTAAGGGTTAGAAGGCTGTTACACCCCACACGGTAAGCCAACATTCGCACAACATTCGATCAACATGCGATCAGTACACTCTTTGGTGACCGTGCCCGCGTGCAGGTCAATGTAACAACAGGAACGATATGCCCCAGTTGGCACCACGCGGAAAAAACCTTTCTTTGTTAAATTTTCGCGCGAAAAAGGGGGGAACACTGCAAATGGTACAATGGGGACAAATGTATGCACAATGGAAAGAACAAAACAGGAGGAGGAAAATGCTTAACAATATATAACTCGCATACGTGTAACGAGGATACATGTGTTGTGCATAAGTACAAGGCAATTTTAAGGAATGCAACAGTTGATTGAAAACCCTCCTTATCCTTAAAGAAAAAAAGTGTCATCCCGAAAATCTGGCCAAACGTGATGCAAGGCACATTTCGTACGCTTTCGCTTATGCGAATATGCCGTGATGCGTTTTATATATTTTTCTTTTTTTGGAGTAATGCACAAAAGGGGGTAAGGAATTCTCCTTTGCTCGAGAGGCTAGTTGGTGAGCTGCCGATTTGCCCAGTTTGCGAATTGCCGATTTCCCGTTGTCAGAAGTATTCCCTTCTGATTTTCATCATCTCTGATACATTTTTGACAGCACAATTTTTCCCTTCACACTTCGCACCAATTTGCTGATGTATACCCTTGAGTCCGCACGCCTCGTTTGGGGGGCCCACGGAGGAACACACATACGCTATACCGATGGATACGTACGCATATACACATGTACGTTTTGCCCCCCGGCCGAAGCCACATGTGTATTTTTTCTTTTTTTCCCTCCTTTCAACGATAAGTAAAAATGTGGGGTGATTAACGAAGGCGTAAATAGTTTGGACATCCCTCTTTAACTATAGTAATGAAGAAAAAACATCTAAATGGAACATGCGGGGAGGGGCATCAACCCGGTCGACTCGGAAATCCCATTAAGCTGCAGCACGGATGGCAACCTCGTTTGAACAAAAAAGACGGTTCCGTGCATATCCCAATGATATACTTTTTATCTTTGCTGCCCCATTGGAGGTTAAAAAAACGGTGTGCTCTCATGTTATCGTGATTGGTTCCCCCTAACACTATTGCAGTAATTGAAAATAATGAAAAAATGTACAACCGTGTTTGGAACAAATCCAGGTTAATGTGTCCTCACCCATCCCTATTTAGTTCGACCCTGAGCTCACCTTTTATTCAATGGCTGGTAATCTTAACGCGTCGTTTCATATTCCGAATGAAGAAAAACTGTGCCGTTCGCTTAACAATTCATACGAAAAATAAGTTCTTTAGTGATAAAACAAGAAGAGAGCTGAAATGGCCCCTGAATAAACACCTATGTGAAAACAGCTTCTTGGTGTGGGCGTTTTGTTCACTCCCCTTTTTCCTCTGCCCTACGGGAAAAACCTCCTCCCCCCAACGCCTTCTATACCATAACACACCAATGGCAGATAAAAAACAGAAATGCGCAAATTATTTCACGGCTTCATTTCAAAGCTGCGTCTTTCGCGCTTAAATGAGCGTAAAGTCATGTTAGACAGCGTCGGGGTTGTGTGCTTCTTAAAGCAAAAACTTCAAAAAAAAACAAAATGAAACAAACGGGAAGGGGAAAGTACGGGCCATGTATGCACTTCCCATCGACGCCATTGTGGGGTTGCGGTTCAATCAGATGTATTCTCCCTTTTTCGGGGCAACATATCTCCCCAGAGAGTTTTTTTTTCCTTCTCCGTTTTAGGCATTACTTGACCCTCCCACTGGCTCGCTTCTTCAGATGGAGCTTCTTAATTTTACTTCAAATGAAGGCGCCATTTAATTTTTTATTCTCCCCCCCACCGCACGTTGCGTGTGGAATTTTCCCTCCTCACACTTTGTGCCTCTTTTTGCTTACGCGCCTTTTATGGTCGCTACTGCTGTCGCTACTGCTGTCGCTACTGCTGTCGCTACTGCTGTCGCTACTCTTATCACTACTCCTATCGCTACTCCTGCCACTACTCCTGTCACTGCCCCTATCACTGCCCCTATCACTGCTGGAGGGGCTACGAGATGTGTTTCTTCTCTTTTGGGCGGCCCTTCTATCTTCACCTTCTCGTCTCTGACTCCGCCTTTTGCGTTTCGGAGAGCCTCGAAAGGGGTCGCTTGACCCTCCACGGCTGCTGCTACTTCCAACACTACCTCCGCTGCCAACACCACGCTTACTTTGCCGAACGCCGCTGCTACTACTACTGCCACAACTTTCGCTTCGTTTCCTGCGGCTACTTTTGACACGCCTGGGGCTACTTTGCCCGCGTCCATCACGCCGTCCGCCTTTACGATGACCCCCGCTACTACCACTTCTGTCACGTTTTCTCCTTTGGGGCGACCCCCGCTCTGCAACGAAGTTTTCCCTCTTAGTGTCTCTGCGACTTAAGCGGGCTGAACGGTCTCCCTCGAGGGTAATTTTCTCCCCCGGGTATTTCCGCCTTTTGCTCGTAATTTGTACGTCAAAAGGTCGATCTCTATTGAGGGGCACCTTTGCGTGGAGCCGCTTATATGTAGACAGTGGCTGGTAGATGATATAAATTTTTCGTCCGTACAAAAAGGATTCATTTTTTTGCATAATTTTAGCAGAAGTTTCTTTGTCGTAAACTTCAACCAGTGCTTCCTTCAAGGACCTACTCTTTTTGGTATCGGTTTGCACCTTCTGTCGTTCCGCCGCCTTATTCCCAGGAACATCATACAAGTGTATCTTCTTAATTTCGCCACAATCTTTGAAAAAGTCTATTATGTCGTTTTCGTTACATTTATAAAAAATATTGGAGATCTTTAATTTCAGTGGGTTTCTTTGCGCAAGCGGATTTTCCAGATCTTCACTAATGATTCTCATTTTTCGATTAACTTCACTTTGTTTTTTATCTAGGTAGGACAAAACGCTGTCTATGTTTATGCTAACTTTATACGTTCTCTTAGACACCCCTAAACTGATAATATCGTTGTTCGCAATTTTGTATTTGTTATGAATTTCACACAAGTTACTATTCAGCCTCGTCCTTGACTTGGATCCTACATCTACAAGGTACAGATGGTAGTCCTTGGAAAAAAACAACACACAGTGGAATCTTGAGATGGATGGGTTTAGGCAAATAATATCATTCTGCTCATTTTTCCCAAATGATATATATTCCTTCTTCTCGAATAAGTAATTTTGTGTTTTTTCCTCCATGGTTATTCGTCCACTTGAGGAGAAGTTCTCGTTTCCAGCAAGACTCTTTTTAGTCTCCTTCACTAGTGCATCATTATATGCATAGTCATCCTCCTCTAGCATTATTTTCCTTTCCAAATATTTTTCCTCTATGGAAATGTCTGCTACAAGGCTCCGATCTGTCTGCATGTTGCAGTTTGTCAAGAGCCAGGCGTAGATCTCCGTGTTTTTTGCGAGGTCGTTTCTTATGCTCATGTAGATTCTGCCTAAATTGTTTTGTCCCTTTTTTTCGTAAACTCCAAAGAAGAAGAAATCTTTTCTCATCTTCTTATTTTTCACTTTTTCTACATCTTCCTGGTTCACTTTGTATACAATTTCTCGCTTTCCTGTCTCTTTTAAATTTTCTCTCATTTTTTCATACCTGCGGAATTTGTCCCTTTGGATCATGTCCATCCAGGCCAGTCTGTTTCGCTTCCACTCTGGGTTCTGCGAAGGTTGCGGGGAGGGGCGCACCAAAGGGGGGATTCCACATGGGTGTTTGCACATGGTACTTTCTCATATTACTTTCATATGCTACGCCATGTGCTACCCCATGTGCTACTCCAAAAGCTACTCCACGTGGGCACCTCCACTCAGAGGGCTGCCCCCCTGCTTACCTCGCCGAGGTAGGGTGAAATGGCCTCCAAATCCGAGACAGCCAGCTTGTTAACGACCTGGGCGATATCCTCCAGCGCCTTCCGCCTGCACCCTAGTAACTCCCCCTGCTCATAATAAATAGCCGTTTCGCTCTCAAAGAGTTCTGTGGCCTTGTTTTCATTTATTACCTTCCAGTAGACCTCCCTCTCGAACAGCGCGCCGACATTTTCTTTATAATTCGTCGCAGCCTTCTCAACATTTTCAAACTGATTTCGCAAAAAAAAATAGCAGTGGTATGGGGAAATAAAACTAATGTTGTTAAAACATATTTCACAAATGTAGTGAAAATTTAAATAGTTGTGAGGTCCACTAAAGATATCAATTGATGTAAAAATACATTCTTCCTTGTATTCGTTTTCTTCCTGCACGATGGTTTCCAGGTTTCCCTTCATTTTGTTTTAATCATTTTTCTTTCGTCTCCTCTGTTGGAGGGTAGCCATAGTTTTCCTTTGCAGCAGTTCGGAGGTGAGATTAGTTCGCCCCTAGGGGGTACTGCTATGTGTGGGCATGGGTATGTTCGTTAAAGAAAGGCCATAAAACACATATTGCAAATGCGAACAAGTTATCCTTACCTGCGTACGATACGCTTGTAGGTTGGTAGGCATTTTTATCAGTTTGGCGTGCTTGGCATTGTTCGCGATTCGTGCTTAATGCGGATTGGCCGCCTACTAGGCCGATTTTTTTTTTCTCTCTGCTCACGTGGGAATAAATTGCAACTGTTTTTTTTTTTCTTTTCTTAAATGGCTATTTGGGCAGCCGCTACGCTGAGGAGTACTGTCCGCCCAGAACATTACAATGTTACGTTTTTTTTTTTTTTTTTGTTCCCTCATCTTTGTGAATGTAGGAGAACCACAGTTTTTCACGAGAAAAACTCTCTCTATATGAACCAATTCGAACACCATGTCGATCGTACGTGCGAAAGACGAGCTATGTTCCACTCCTCTTCGCCCCACAGGATAAGAAGAAGAATTGTAGTTCGTGCAGAATTTTGAAATTTTCTACATGTTGGAGAAGCTAGCGCTGTTTTTCGTGCTCTCACATTTTTCTTTATTCTTTTCCAAAATTGTGCATTTTCGCGGGGCAGGCATTTATCCCAAGCAAGGTTCCACCCAAAGGGATATGTTTTCTCCCCACATGATGCTCTCCGGTTTGTGAAGCTCTGTCATTTTTTATCCACTGCGTCCAGTGTTAACCTTTTAACGTCCTTCATCCGTCTACACACAGACGTCTACAGACACACGTCTGGCAGAGCTCGCACAGCGCGCAGATTGCGCAGCACCCCCTCTTCGAATTTCCGCCCCCCTCCTCCCTTGAATGATCTGCCTAGCAAAGGCACTCAATTTCCTATCCCAGAATGAGAGAAACGTAAAGGTACATCGTATGAAAATTCCAGACCTAATCAAGCTGCTCAGCAAACATAAAGAGATAAAGGAAGACGATCTGGACAACATAAACATACAAATCATTAATACCCTAAATGATATCAACCCGAACAAAATTATAAACAATATAGTAATCAATAATGTGAGAAGGAAGTACGATTTAAAATCGTTAAAGAAAAAAATTTACTTCAACCATTTGTTACTCAAAACAGGGGCCGAAAGGGGCACCTTGTTCAAAGCGTACGGATACAAGGAGGAGACGAGCAGGAGTGGAGACTTACAAAATGAGGCCACAACGGAAGTCGGCGAGGTTGGCCATGTTGCCGATGCTGGCCATGTTCACCATGTTGGGGAGATTGCCGACGTTAACAATGCGCAGAAAAATATATATGGAAGGAATAGGAGGAAGGTGAAACAGACCAAAGGGTCCCAAAGCAGCAACAGTGAAAAAAGCACTCAAGGTAACGAAAAAGGAGAGTTAAACATGGATCTACTTTGGGATCTGCCCAATGGGGAAGAGCGAAAGGGAAGAAAAAAATTTACCTTTTTCGAATTAGCAAATAGTTACTCCAACTTCATCCTGGATAATATTTTGAGACACGTCTGCTCGTATATTTACAACTACAAAATATTAAACAAAATAAATCAGGAAGAGAACAAGGGGCACGAACTGGTTTCGCTCTTTTTAATATCAAGCATATTTCACCACTTCTTCGAGTTAAAATTTGGGTATTCCTACATGGTGCATTTTCTCAATGGGCTAAAGTTATACAAAATTAAGGGAGAAATAAATATCGACCAGTTGAGCTTCGACTTGATTGACAAGTATGCCGCTGCTGTAGAAGAAGACAGGCGGAGTATTCCCCCCGAGGGAGAAGCAGACCCCGTTTTGGAAAAGGTTTACGACGTATCCTTCATTATAGACTACCTGAGCGAGCATGCAAACAGGAACAATCGACGAATAGCCGAGAGGCACACCTTCTCCCCCGCGAACGAGCACAACTACTGCGTGCACACATTTGAAGATGCGAAAAAAAAGCGAACATATATACTTAACGTGAAGGACAAGATCTTACTAAGTTACAGCGCAGAAGAGTCTTATTTAAACCACTTCCTACACATTTTGCAAAATAAGTACAACACTGAAAGGATCAGTTTTTCAAGTTACTGTCTGTTGGTTCATATGTATAGCATGTCCAACCATTTCGTAGTGAACATGTTTGCCTCTCTTCCCCTCTCCTTTCAGAAGAATAAAATGGACGGAAATATGAACAATTTAATCATTTTATTAAATTCGTGCATTTTTTTCTTAAGAGGAAAGTCATTTTTAAATACGCTAAATGCGTTCCACATTCACGTAGTTTCAGAAGATGAGGGAAAATTAATTGCCGACAAGGATCGTGTGCACAAGGTTAAGGAAAAAATGTACGCGTTTGTAGAGCAGCTAATAAATTACATTTTTCAGAATAAAGGAATACTCAATAATAATCATTTGTTGCAATTATTTGAGATTCTCTCTTTTGTAAAATATAACAAATCGCTCTTCAGTTACATTTTTAACAAAATGAACGGCAGCCTTTGCTTGCTGGACAAATATCAAATTTTTTATTTTTTAAATTCCCTGTCAAATTACGACATTGTGTGCAACGGCGCAAAAGGGGACATTGGCATGCACACGCTTAAACACCTGGAGCAGTATTCACCCAAGGAGAGGCAGCGCCTGGAGGGGTATCTCCACGCGCAGCATTAGGGGGAGCAGCCCATTGGACGGTGTGTCAGCATTGCGACGTGGCAACATGGCTACAAGGCAACATGGCAACGTCGCAACATGGCTACAAGGCAACATGGCAACGTCGCAACATCGCAACATTATTACGTCAGCTCCATTTGAAAAAAAACCCTCTGCACAAATAAGCGAAGCGCAGCGCAGGGCTAAGTGTGCGATAGGAACAGGCCCTCGGCGATCATCCAGGTTAAAATTTCGAACGTAGAAATATCACACGACTTGCCAGAGACAAAAATATGATGCGATGCCTACCATTTCGCACCCTTTTGGACAAAGCGATGATTAGGCTTCATGTCAAAAATTTTTATCAGCTTAAAGAAGTAAATTTGTTTGCCCTGCAAATTTGCAACCTGCTGTGATTTTTCTTCCTCCGATTTTGCAAAAGGTTGGCTCTGTCCTGCATCCTTATTGGCATGACTGCTTCTATTAGGTATTCCTTCGTCGCTAGAATTATCAGAATGGCTATGTACGCTTCGACCATTTGGGTACTGGCCCACCTGGGCGAAGGACGAAATGCCCCCCGCTGGGTCACCAGAAAATGGCGCTTTCAATTTCGCCTCCAAAACTTTTTTTAAATAAATGTTGAAACTTTGAAGGTTATAAATGTTTACGCTTTCATCCAGTACTAAATAGTAAGGATATGGCAGGGCGCTCTCAAACAGGTTTTGTACTTCTCCCTGCAGGAGGAACGAAAAGGGGAAGAGATAAACGAATGAAGGTGTTTTCATACGGGTAGAGGGGTTACCTATGTAGGGGGACGTAGTCACATGTGTGCCCACCTGTCGTGGCGCTCTTTTTCCAGTGTTACTCATCTTTTTCCTTTCCCTCTTTTAATTAGGGGTCACGTATACCGCTATGGCGCAAATTCCGCCTTACCGATGCACCCACAAGGCTAAGAACAACCTTGAACTGATTAACATCGTCCAGAAACAAATACAGGGGGCAGTTGTGCAGCATCGTTGAGTATATGCTTCTAAGTATCCATTGAAGGTACTCCCCATCGAACCTTTTTTTCTGTCTAATAAAATACACAAAGGCACTCTTGACCACTTCGTCATTAATTATACTACTTAAGTTTCTAATATGACTTATTAGGATCTTCAAATTGGGGAAAATTTGCAGATCATTTAAATCCATTTTGTACGAAATAATGCTGTAGTAAAATTGCATAAAAGCATCGTAGTAGTTGTTCGAAAACAATATGTGATGATCGTTTAAATCGTAGAGGCAGATTTTGGACAAGTACACCGGGTGCATATTATAGTACAAGTTGCTCGTTCTATAGGTACACTGTAGGTCTTCCTCCGAGTCATTTGTATAAATGCTGCCACTCTCCACGTTATTTTGTTCCGAATTCTCCCTGCTTATTCTGTAAGAGTATATATTTTTTGTATTATACCCATTTTGACACTTTAAAATGTCTTTATTTTTTTTCATGTGACTTAAATTGTCGAAGTACCAGTCATACACGTTTGGAAAGAGGGTCTTCTTTCTTTTGTAAAATTTTAAGGACGTAAATAAAATCCCAGGCTTCTTAATGTGAACGAAGTAGGTCCCCTTGGACTTCTGGTAGTAGTACTCCCTAATATAGTAGTTAAACAGCTTCTTTATTTCGTTGTAGTTGGTAGGCATAGTTCCGTTCTAGTTGGCAAGCATCTTTCCGTTTGCTTGGCACAGTGGGGGTGGCCACTTCGTGTTAATCTCATATACTTACTGTTATTTATTTTTTATTTTTTTCCCCTTTCAAATGGCGTAAAGCAAAAGTAGAGATTGGTCACACCTGAAGACATGACTGTGTAAAGCTTTTCTGTGTTACTTTCGCACTGCTCCGCCAATTGTCGCTCTAGTGGGATGGCATCACAACTATAATTGCAATTTCCCTCGTGGGGGATCTCGAGTTGGTGCTGTTTTATTTGCTAAGTGTGCCGCATTTTTTGCTTTCCACGAAAGGGGGGGGATGCTATACATATGTTATTTATTTATTTTTTCTTTTTATTTATTATTTTATATACTTTTTTCTTCTTTGCTGAACTCGAAATTTATCTTATGTCATTCACTTTGCAAAGAGACATAATTGTTTTTCCCCACACCCCCAAAAGATGGACTTCTGCTTGGGCAACCATGTTAAACGTGTCAATGGGGTTGGACGTCCAACTCGTGCAGTGTGAAATAGCCGTGTAGGACGTAACGAGGCGCGCGTGACTCTTTCCACTAAATTACCATTTTAACTATTATAGTCTTTTTTTTTTTTTTTCTAAATAGCTCCACATCGTGGTGTTCACGGACGCGCGATGAGGCTAGGGGGAAATGCTCACAAGTGGATCATGTGCCGGTAGGCGATGGGCCGATAGGCGAATGAGCCTGCGAACGAATCGACAAAGGTATATAGTACCGATCACTGCTAACAGACTGAAGCACACATGCAAGTGGTATGCATGCCAAATAACAACTTCCGGGGACTTGCAAAGAGGCCTTCAAAAAAGCGCACGTAAAAAAGTGGACTTCCCACAGGGAGCGAAAGACCAGGGCTAGGAAAGGTGTGGTGCGGTACAGTACAGCACGGTGCACCTACTCACGATACGAATTAAGGAAAAGTTAACAGAAAAAAATATTAAAGTTTTCGGAGGCGTAACAAGAATGCTTGTATATATACACGTCCGAACATATGCGTTATATAAAAATGAGCGTGTACTCCATGGTTTCGACGAAGTGGGGATAAAAATTAAATGAAAATAATTTAAAAAAACAGCCAAGGCGCGAAGAAAGCCGCGTGCGCATATAAGGCACGCATAGAAAAGTACGCATGACAAAATCTCGGGAGCCTTTGACGACGCTGCTTTATCGCACAGCGGGGGAACTCCACGAAGCGCCACTTACACGTAGCGACGGAATCTGGTGTACCTATCCTTTCGTTCCACTCTGCCGGCAATCATCCACCGAGCGCGTTACTAAACAGGTAAAAGGGTACACACCAGTACAGAGCACGCCTAACGAAAACGTCAGGCCTGCTTGAATTAAATCATAGGCGGAAGAATATTATCAGAGGGCACAAAAAAAAAAAAAATAAAAATAAGTTAAAACATGAAAGATGCGTTATAAGTGAGTGTAAAGTGTAAGGTGTATCTGTTAGTTCACTAGGTAAATTCTCTGCGGTAACAATAGTGGTCGTCCATTTGGGTGGAGGCAAATTTGTGCTCTTAATTCTTAACGGGGGTAAATTTTCACTACGCTCTGCTTAACCAATTGGTTACGTTTACCATGTGTTAATGTATTACTCTTTTTTTTCCTTTTTTTTTTTCCTTTTTTTTTTTCCTTTTTTTTTTCCTTTTTTTTTTTCCTTTTTTTTTTTCCTTTTTTTTTTTCCTTTTTTTTTTCCTTTTTTTTTCTTTCATTTCCTCTCCAATTGGTGATCATGACAAGAGCCCAATTTTCGTTTGCGCCGCTTCTCATCCCTTGTAGGCGATTTCTTGTCCAGCTGGGTGCTTGTTTTTTTTTTTACATGAGGCGAGTTGAGAATGATGCATTGTGAGCCGTCCCCACTTGTTACGGCCAACGAGGCCCTCACCAATTCGCTTGCTTCCCCACTTAGTAGTAAGGCTTCTCCATCAGCACAGGCGTGGTGTGGGAGGCCCGCTTGTCCTCGCCCCAGAAGGAGGCCTCGGGGTCGAGCATCTGATCCCTCCTGGTGGTGGGATTCCCGTACGCATCTGCCTGCTCCATGTGGTCATACTTATCATTGTTAGCTTTCTTCCTGAAGTAAAACATGGAGGCCACTCCGACCACGCAGGCACCTCCAGTTATTGCGATAATAATTAGTATCATCTTATTCCTGGAGTTGTCCTCCCCGTGTTGGTAAAACTGCTTATATTGGTCCTTTATGACAACTTCGTTATTTTCCTTAATTTCTTGTCTTTTCTCAATACACTTACAAACGTAAAAATTGCAGGTACTGTTGGTAATGTGTTCAGGCTCGCATGGACATTTGAGACTTTCCTTATTGTTGGAGATAAATATCCTTGGCATGACAATCCGTTCCCCCTCAACACTGTACAGCTGTATGTTCCTTGTTTCTTTCTTAATCTCTCTTTCAATTTCGTCTTGGTATATGCTGCACGGAAACTGAGGGTCTACTTCTTCCGGGTGAGATAACCCCGTGGTTGCAATAAAATTTTTGTCATTAATGAGACACGTGGGTTTGGTATTAAAAAGGTAACACTTCTTATTTTCAGAATCGAAATTGGCCCAGTTAAATCCTCTTCCTTTACTCTTAAACTTGTCCGAGTTGAATGCACCCACTGGAAGAAAGGCACTTTTTATCATGTCCTGATTGTTATTTTTGAATCCTTCTTGTATTTTTTTATAATCGGTGAGTTCTTCTTCGTACTGACTTGGTTGATCTGAAGCGCTACCTTCGAAAACGATTCTGTTGCATTCGTGTAGATTTTGTGCCTCCACTTCTTTAACGTATGGGATTTCTTCACAGGTCCCATCCACCCATAATCCAAATTTAGCGTTTCCTAAATTTTTACGGGGGCATTTATCTTTCCAATCATTATACACATTTTTGCTTAAATACACCAGATGTTTAAAAGCTTCAGTTTTATCTGGCTTGAAGCAAAACAAGGCATCTTTATTTTCTTCATCCGGGCTACAGTATCTTGGACCCACATTTTCTTGTGCTGATACATACAACATGTAACATGTTTTTGAATGTTCGTCATAAACGGCTGGGTGTCTATAAGACGAATTTTGATCATTTGACATGACAAAGCTAGCTGCATGGGTTCTACACAAAGCTATATCGTCTAGCTTCATCAACTCCGGATTCTCTTTATATGTTTGTCTAAGGTTTTCTATTGTCATAGGGGAAATATTGTGAGTTGTGTTGGGGAAAGCCAAACCTCCCTCCTTCAAATTCTGATTTCCTGTAGCTACAGGTTGTAAGAAGCTAACTTGAGAATTTTCTATAACGATACCCTTTCCAAAAACTGGACATTTTCCAGCTGGTATTCTATAGTTGGAATTTCCCACTTCTGCATCTTCCCCTAAATCAACTCGAACCCCAGAACCGTGTGTTTTTTCGACATCGTACTTTTTCATGAACGCCTTCCATGGGTTACTCATTCGTGTACTTCTCTCAATCATAGGCTCCTTTTCCAACAAAACATTGTTAGCGCTGCGAGTCAGTCTGCTCGGCTTCTGGTTTCGCCCGCACTTACCGATGTGCACAAGGCACTGGGCGCTTAAAAATAGTATGTAGTATATTTTATTCATATTGTGTTGTTAAATTGGGACTTAAAAAAAAGGCAGCGAGTTGGTTCTCCCTCCCTTCTCATTAATCAGGGGGGGAGGGGAAGTAGCCACTGGCAGGTTAGCCACTCGCAGGGTGACCACTAACAGGTTAGCCGCTGGCAATAATTGGCCGTCACAGAGGTGAGCAGCTTCACGGTTACAAACTCGCGCAGTAGCAAAATTGCAGAGTTGCAAAATTACATACGCTTCATAAATTCCATGTAAACGTTTGAAACCCCTACTTGCTCTGGGCGGCACCAGAGTGTAGAAAGAGAGGTTACAAAAGCGAAAAAAGGAGCAAAACGAAGCAAATAAAATTAAGATTTTGGAAAAAAATGACGAACATTGGAAAATTGATGAAGTGTGTCAAAATTTTTAAATTTTGCAAATTTTGCAAATTGAGCAAATTCCGTAAATTCGGCAAAATTAACGTGTGAGAGATTAAATTTGCTTCACTTTTTTTTTTTTTTTTTTTACATACACATTTACTCAAATTATTTGTTGGAAAATTACACCTCTGTAGATAATTTTCTACATGGCGTCACTAAAACTGCCACGGGTAAATGGCAACAACTTCCCGTTCTCTTCTTTCTTATCGTGCATTAAGAGGAGGGCCGCTGTTTTGGTCTCTCTTTGGTCGGATTAAATGAGAGACTCTCCAAGGAAGGGGGAACCGAAAGGGGCAAAAAAAAGGGGAGAAAAAAGGGGAGTAAAAAACCCAATAAAGAAGCGAATGAAAACGAGAGAAAGAACACAAACAAAAATGAAAACAAAAATGAAAACAAAAATGCAAACAAAAACACAAACAGAAACTCAAACAAAAACGCAAACAGAAACCCGAGCAAAACGCGGGAAAAAGACGAACAAAGCGCGAAGAAAAAAGGGCAAAAAATTAAGCAAATTTTTCCGTTGTAAAACAGGTTCTTCGTTGTAACTGCTCGTTTCCGCCTTAAAAGCGTTCTACACTTAAAAAAAGTTGAAGCAAAAGAAAAAACAAAAAAGAATCAACAACAATAATTAATTGTGTACATTTGTGGATAATAATAATATACTCAAAAAAAAGGAAAAAAAAATTCACGTCATAAAGAGAAAAAAAAAAAAAAGAACAAGAAAAATCGTTCTGTTTTTATTTTACAACTTTTGCATGCTAGAACGGGGATTACATCAACGGGGGGGGAAAAAAAAAAGTACAAAATAATGGAAAAAATCCCAAAAGGCACAATTGTAAAAAAAGTCAAAAATCATTGAATGCACACCTTTAGTTAGAAGCACATATAAGTACAAAACTCGCATTCACTTTTTTGCTTATTTGCTAAAATCACCCATTTTTAAAAGTCGCAACTTTGTTTTTACCATTTTTTGTGAGTTTTTTTTTCCCCTCATCTCCTCTACCACATCCGCGGTGGTCAAATATATTGCATGTTTCACACGGGTAACTTTTGCCTAATCGAAAAATGCAACTTGCAACATGTAGCTTGCCTCGAATGTGTAATCCTGCCTATCTGGAGACACATTAACTGCGTTTAAAATTTTGCACTTTTTTCAAACAAAGAGTTTACGCAACACAATGCAAGCTGGACTGCATGTGAGGGGAGGGGAAAAAAGCTCAGTTACACGAATATATACGTGTATAGAAACTCTCGTAGGAATGGGCACTTATGTTTAACTCAGATGTAAACACATTCACATGTCCCGCGCCACGTCGAATGTAAAAAAGGTTCACCCTGTAAGTTTACATAAATGTGAGCATATTCTCACACACACTTTTTTTTTTTGGTGACAGATTTTTTCTCCTTCGAACTAAGAGGGGTAAGGGAAAAATTGGAAATCCTGTTCCCGCTAATTTTGCGGATTTTGTAAATTTTGTAAGTTTGTAAACTTCGCAAATTCTACATGGCAAAGGGGAGAACAGCGGGGGAGGAAAAATGGAAGAAGAAAAAAATAAAAAAATAAAAAAAAAATAAGATAAAAATGAAAATAAAAAAACATTCAAGCCAAGATAAACCTCCTTGTTACTAAATCCTTTTTTGTTGCTCAGCCCTGGTCTCTCTTTTTTAAAAAAAGAAAACAAACAGTTAACAAAAGCGAAAAAACAGTTCCTACACATTTTAAAAACACATTTTGCGAAAGAAGGGACTTCCATTTTTTATTTCCCCTTTCCCGTAACGCTTTAAAGAATCAACAGTTTGCAGCAGATGTAACAAGTAATGCTTTACAGACACTTCTGCGTTGGACTTGCACGCTCAGAAAAGGATGAATTGCGGAGTAACAAAAAGTGAACTTCGTATAAGCGCTAAAAGGGAGCAAAATAAAAAAAAGGAAAAGAAGCGAAAAGAAAGGAAAAGAAAGGTTAACCTCTAAATGTGCTTTTTAACTGGTTCGCTTTGCCTCCCCCCCTTTCGCGCGTTCAACTGAAAATGTGAGAGAATCCCTCATTCGTCTTCCCCCTCCAAAGTGATGCACTGTGCATATAATATGAGTGTGCTAATTTTTCAACTCCATGGGGAAGCAAAAATCGAACTCGTTGTACGTGCAGAAGAGGTGAAACGCTTCTGTTGTGACACCCCCCCCAACCTGGAGGAAGGGTTACAAAAATGTGAGGAAAAAAATAAAGAAAAGCATTTGAACTTCCTGTATACGTACACTTCCTAACAGGGGAGGCCATCAAAAAAAAAATTGCGCAATTTGGAAGCGGACACGTATACACTATGGCGCGGGAAGTAAAAAAAAAGAAAAAAAAATAGGAAAACACCACGTACGCATAGACTCCACAGGTGAGAAGTGTGTACCTAGGGAAATACGAACAGTCTGCTTCCTCCGCAAATCCGCTTCCATAATGCATAGTTCCTTTAAAAATGGGGAAAAAATAACCATGTGGAGGAAATAACACTCTAACCATAGTGATCAGACTATCCACTTGGTAGGTCAGTGCACCTTGGACAAATTTAGAAAATGCTGGGAGCAATCGGTTTCCTCAGCTTCATGCTCAAAGGAGTTGTAGTTCCTGAACAAGAAATATTTTTTCTTATTAAACTGTACGTTTAACAAAAAAAAATATATATATATGCATATATATACATATATACGTATGTATGTATATTCATTGTTCCGAGCCCCATGGAGGACAAAAAGGGAAAAATGGATATCTTGTGTCATGAGAATCGCGTGAAGGGAAGTGGCGCAAGGCCGAAATGGTGAGATGAAAGAATGGGGCGAACAAGTAGGCGCTCTGTTTAGGCATGGAATACGAAAAAGCAGGGCGTGCTTTCGGCGCGTTGGCCAAGTGAAAGACGGTGTCTCTCTTTGCACTGCTTATTCTCCGATTTGCTCGCAAAACGCCTCAACCGCCGGGGCCTACTTAAACTGGTGCTTCTTCATCCAGATAAAGTACAGCAAGGACAGGAGGAGTGCGAAAAGGGCGGTGATGATAAAAAATATCCCGATTAAAGTCGTGTTGAGGTAAAAATCGGCACTCGAAATGACGATAATCTTCGCTTCGCTGATTTTAAAATTATTTTCGATGTAAATGTAAAAGGGGAAAACTAAGTTTCCGTCCAGTTTGGCATACAATCGTTTAACATAATTAAAAGCAGAAGGAATAACCCAGTTGATAAAGTGGCTATTTTCAACTGCCTTCCCAGCTTTTTTATATTTTAAAGTTTGCGGTAAGACAACTAGCTTGTCACTCGTTTCGGCATGTTCCTGCAATATCTTTAATTGAACTTCTTCATCCATCCAAAAGTATATTTTTTCTTTGTGCAGATTGATAATGTCACGAGTGGGGTTTTTAAAAAACTTGCGATAATATTCGATGGTGATATCTTCAGCCTTTTGTTTCAAACGAAAAGGGGTTGGGAATGGAGATTCATCGGGTTCCTTATCATAAAAAATGTAGCTATCTGTGAATACATTCCACGGTAGTATGCCACAGGGGTGTAGTATTTTGCTCATCTCATTTTGCTCATATGTAATTAAAGGGAAACATTCACTAAGTTCTTTTTCTTGTAAAAATGAATCTCCATGTAGCTGTTCTTTTTTAAAACTGGTCAGAAAACGATAGTGATTTTGTTCCACTCCAGAAATCTCATAATGGATGTTTATTGGTCCCTTCAGTTGTTTTAAATTTTCATTTCCTTTGCAGTGTTCAGGCGTTACTTTAACGATTGAATATTTTGTATAGGCTTGACTTTTGTACTCATAGGGGATTCTGCAATCGATGTAGTTTGAGCTGATTATGAGGACGGCTATACCAACAAGCAGGTTGAAGAGGAACAGAAAAAGTAAAAACACTATGATTGAGCAGTAGGTGGGCACCCAGATCGGTCCAACCACTTTCTCCATTTTATACCACTCCACAAATTTGTGTATCCATTTTACACATCTAGCACTTCTCTTGTAACTTAGCTGTTTCCTCATTTTGGAAAGTTCCCCATCCCGTCTAGGGATCTTCATGTTACGCTCGTGGAGGTGGGCGAAGCGAGCGAAGTAAGCGGCTAGGCTGGGCTATTACTCCCTCACGTGTTTACACCTCCGCGTGCATTTCTTAATCCCAATTGGTACAGCCCTTTTGCCTTTTGCTTCCTTCTCCAGCGCATGCCAGTACAACAGAAAAATTCTTCCACTCGGATTCTTTTAACAGAACCATGCTCGATATTCTTCGCCCCCGAATTGGAAAATCTGTGCACTCCGCATGTAAGTATGCACATATACATCAACGTATGTTTTCATTTTACGCATATGTGGTTGTCCCTTTAGTGCGCTTTTCTCCCTCCCCCCGTCATACTTTGCATGGCATTTGTTTTAGTATATATATTTTTTTTCTTACCGCTTAGCATTTTTTGGAGTTTATTTTCCTATCAATGTTAATAATGCACTCTTTGGTGTTCACAAAACTGCAAAAAAGGAAAAAAAAAAAAAAATGGTGTCAGGACTGTACCATACGTTTGATCTAAGAAGGCAGAGAAGGGTGAGTGTAAATCTACGCGCAATTATACATTGTTGTGTGTGGCTGCCTTGTTCCAAAGTTCCGATGTGGGTATATGTCACTTTTAGGGCTCCTTCAATTGGACTGAGCAAGCACAGCAAGTTGAGTTAACCGGTAGGCATTTCTTTTCCTTTTTCTTTCGGAACAATTTTAAGGGAAATTATTTGTGCCCAATAATGGAGTACACATTTTTGTTTCCCTTTGTTTAATCCGTCAGCCGGTGAACCCCTGAACCCCTTAATCTGCTAATCATTTTGCGTCACCGCGTTCGCATAATGTTTACACTCCGCGTGTCAACTCACGTAGGACGTCACAACCGCTTCAAGCTCTTTTCTTTGGGCCGGAATACTTAATGGCCCTTTCTTCCCCCTCGCTGTACTTGCAAACACATCTTCTAATAGGACGATTCCAATGTTGGGTGTCATTCCAAAGGTGTGTAAAAGGGGAGAACAAAAAAAAACAGGTTGCCCAATTTTGACGTGAGTTTTGTAATTTCCCCCTTTCCTATTTTCCCCTCGTTTCTAGGCACCCTCCAATCTTAGGTGCAAAAACAGCTCAATATAAATGACATACACAACATGTGAGTAGGAATAGTCTGACAAACGGGGGAAATCCATCCCTTGCGCGTGGCAGAAAATTCGCACTACTAAACGTGTAACACTGCCTTAAGCAACCTACATAAACATGTAGTTCCATTACGACACCATGCAACCATCTTTAAGTTGATCGAAGGTGTTGTCCCCAAATGAAAGAACTCGGTGGGGTGGGTAAGTTACCCTCATGTGAACTGCAAACTGAGTGACATCAAACTGAGTAACTTCACTCAGCTGTGAAAGAAATCTTCTAAATTGAGGAACTCCCATGCATCACAGCACATGCGTACGTACGTCTGTAATCCAACTTTGGTGATCAACCTTTTACAACCCCCCGGGGAGAATTTCAACCCCGTTGTCACCTCAGCCATTAGAGGAACAGGCCTTCAAAATAGGACTACAACAAAACCTGCTCATCGCATGACAACCGTTTCGTGCATAAGGTGCGAATTAACTAGTCTGTAACAAAGGGATTAGGGGTAATAAAATAGCTAGTCATTTTTATCAGCAGAAGAAAAAGGAAACAAAAAAAAAAAAAAATGTGCTCTATAAGGGAGTAGTTAAAACACCCAACTGGATGTTGCAAAAGCTGATATGTAACTTTTATACATATGTGATGTTATTTTTCTTTCCCACCCTTTGCATTTCCGCCTGCTCATTTTGATGACTCCGATTTTAATAAGCAAAAAAAGGAGAAACAACAAAATAAAAAGAGAAACAACACCAGATAAGTATGCACAAGTTTGTATAATTTCATACAATTTCGTGTAATTTCTTTCCCCCCCCTGCTGGTTAGAGCCCCAAGATGCAACGTCCCCTTTCGCATTACATATACGGAAATATACACAATAATCGTATGCACATGTAATTT